AAAGAAAAGAAAGTTAGCAAGAAAAAAAAAGAAGCTAAAGAAAAGACAAAGAAAAGACTAGTGCTTATCTAATTTAAAAGTTTCTGATCACGAAACCAATAAAGCGAAACGTGAAAAAAACCCGAAGCAAAACTTGAAGCAAGACCTAAAGAGAAGAAAAAAGTTAGCAAAAAAAAAAAAAAAAGGAAGACCAATACTTATCTTATGTAAAGTCTAGTTCCTGATCCCAAAATAGCTGTAAACCAAGCATACAGTATCCAACGACAACAAATATCGAAGACCCCAGAGAAAAAAAAAGTTAGCAAAAAAAAAAGCTAAAGAAAGAAAGAACAAAAAGACCAGTAATTATCTAAAACCCAGTTCTTAATCTTAAAGCCAATAAAACAAAATCTTAAGCGAACCTAAAGAAAAAAAAAGTTAGCAAGAAAAAAAAACTAAAGAAAAACAAAGAGAAGAACAATACTTATCTTATTTAAAACCCAGTTCCCGATTCTGAAATCAATGAAGTAAAACCTAAAAAGAAAAAAAAGTTAAGAAAAAAAAATTAAAGAAAGAACAAAGAGAAGACAGTACTTATCTTATTTAAAGACCTGTTCTCAATCCCGAACGAAGCATAAAGAAAACCTGAAACGAAGCTAAAAATGAAAAGTTAATTTATTCACAAAAGATTATCTTATAACCATATTTGCCATGTGCCATTTTTACTAATAAGCTTTCTAGATCAAATATTGATGCGTATAGTACGTAAATATAATTGGTTGTTTTATATATTGAAAGTTAGATTTGTCTGGCAGACAAGCTTGGTTGTCCGAGTCTGAGTCTGGTCCGAGTCCAAGTCTGGTCTGAGTAACAACACTGGGTTTAGGTTAGTTTTTTGCTATTTGCTAAAAATAGTTAGTAATATGTATTTAATCTTAACCACAAAGATATACTGTTATGATAACAATTCGTAGAAGTATGACATGATTATTTAGTAGCAGTATCTAATTTATAATTCGTCTGGCAAGCCTTATAAGATATAATTAAATTTTTCATAGCTTGATCATAGTGGTGTCAATTCTGTAATTTTATGAGAAAACTTATGTTCGAATAGGTTGTATAATGATTTGAACACAGCTACTTGGTTGCAGACGTTTGTGTTTTAATTATATAGATATAAAATTAAATAATAAATATATTAAATAAATCATAGTGAAGATATAAATTAAAAACTGGGTATTAATCAGTATTTTGAATTTATATATTAATAGAATCTAATATTTGTACCTTTTGTTGGTTTATTTAGTCTAATATTTTGTTAATAGCCAATTAGCATGTTATATTATCATGTGATTTAGTATTGATAATCACATAATGAAAACATGTCTTTTGGCCTAAAGGTATGCATCTAGACATGCCCAGGAAGTATACCCAAAAGTCATGCCTCATGCTCTATATCCTTAACCCTAGATAGCAAGTAAGATATTCAAGATGCGATATTAAGAGTAACTTAAAAATTTATAGATTCTCCTATTGTATAGATTGGAGTTAAAAGATGATTAAGTAAAATTTCTGAGAACATCGAAGATATGTTTAAAAGAAGTAAAGTTGAAGAGTTTTTTGATAAATTAGATAGTGAATATGAGAAGATAAGCTAACTACTGTTTTTTCATAATATTTATATATTATATCTATTACTATTAATCTTTTGTATTTAGAGAAATCTTAAGAGATCCATTGACAAGAATAGTCAGACACTATTAGCAAAGTCTAGTAATTTTCAAATATTAGATCTCATAGTATGTTATAAAACAAGATATTTAAAATTTTTAACAAAAAATAGTAGAGACATTAAAACTATAGCATCGAGTTTAAAGGATGAAACTATAACAACAGTTATTGAGGATGAAACAGTTATAAAGAATAATATTATAGCAACAGATTTAAAAGATAAACCTATAGAAATATCTTATCAAACAAAGATAGATTTTGAAGATTCAAGAAATGAGTTAAAATCTTGTTATAATAATAAATCTGATGAAGCTAAATGTTCTGCTAAAATAAATAATAATATTTTGTAAAAGGTTTATTATTAAAATATCTAAACATTATATTGATATCATATTATTTCTGTATATTTTATTATTATAGAAGTTTTTTGCTAAGACTGAAAATTTTGAACTAAAAAATAAAGATGCTCATATTGTAGTACCGGTTAGGCATTAAAATATATAATATAGTTATATTTATATATATTGTCATTAATTATTATTATTGTCTAGTATTTAAACAAAATCAATACTAATAAAACTACGAATAATTTTTTTTTTTTTTTTTTTGGTTTTACTTCATTGATTTCAGAATCGGAAACTAGGCTTTACCTAAAATTAGTTTTGTTCTTCTCTTTGT